ATGTGATACCCGAAAGCTGGAAAATTTTCAGTGGCTGTCAGGGAGTTCCAGGTTGTTGCATCACTGGAGCCAATGTGAGTATAGTTCCGCGTTTAGTGCTTGCCCTTTTTAATGATGCCATTTTTTTTTCATTAGTGCTCCAAAATGCAAATATAGTCAATTATATGATTCTTGAACTACAAGCAGCTTTAGAAGACCCCACCCAGATTAATGCATCTCTGTATTCCCAAATAAACCCAACTTCCTGATGTGTACCCTGTTCTCTTTGTATTGCTTCCTTATTCTAAAATCCCTGGTGTTCCTTCCAGTCCCTCTGCTTTTCTATTAAAAACTACCATGGAAGGCAGGTGTGCATTGACCAGAATTCTGCTAAGTGTCTCTGTCTGTCTGTGTCTCTGTCTCTGTCTCTCTCTCTCCCCCCCCCCCCCACCTCTTATGCAGCTGAGAACAGAGGGTATGTGGTCACTTTTTAAAAAAGTGTATATAATATTTTTTTTTATTTTCTATGCACAAATGTTTTACCTTTCATTTCTATTTTTAGCTAAATGGGTGTTTTTTTTTTTTTTTTTTTTTTTTTTTTTTTTTTTTTTTTGTTTTACAAGGTCAAGGTTTATATATACTTTAATGTGTGTGTTTTAATTGCATGTGGTACCTGAATTTGACTTAGTACCTGACGCTTTCAGTTCACTGTAGTACTCAAAGTAGAAGAGGAAGGGGCAGCACTGGGAGTCAGTTGAGTAAGCTTTAGACTACTTTTACACTGATCCATCGGGAAAAAGCATTTTGCCACGGTTTTACCGCTCTGTTGCCTTGCTTTCAGTGTGTTTTTTGGGGGGTTTTTTTTAGGACGTTAAAACTGCACCACAAATGCTTCTTGGGTGCATTTTTGAGGCGTTTTCCATTGATTTCAGGCATTTTTGGTGCTTTTTTTTTTTTTTTTTTTTTTTTTTTTTTTTATTTTTTAAACTGCACAAACATGCTCCAAAAATGCTGCAAGCAGGATTTTTTACACTGCACTCGCAGTGCCCAGTAGGAAAATATACATAGAAAAGCAGCTTTTCTTGTGCTCCTGTTTTTATATTTCTCAGTGTGAAAGCAACCTGATGCAGATTTGTTGCCAAGGCACAGCCTCCTCAGTCTGCTGCTGCTCTGTCCCTGTCTATATGAATATGAACAGGGAGGAGTCAGCAGTGTATTCCTCAATTTTAAAGCGGTAGTAAACTCTAAAAATTGGGCCCCGGGTGGTTTAAGCCATAGTGTATTAGTATGCTCCGCATAATAGAAAATTATCACAGACTTGCCTTAAAAAGAATCCCTCCAACGAGGCGCTGTCACCTTTGTCCACTCTTCCATCTTCACTCAGTTTTCCTTCCAGGTTAGCACTATATGACCATTTGAATGTCCAGGCCGCGATGACAATGCTTCCACGAATGTACACGGGAGTCACGGTATGCTCATTGTGCAGACAGTTCAGAGCACGGTGTGCATGCGTCAGTGACGTCACCGGCTGCTTCAAGCGTGAATATCTCCTAAACTGGTTAGAAGACATTCACTGTACCTACAAGTAAGCCTTACTATAGACTGGAAGTTTACTACCGCTTTAACAGAGAAAGTAGTAATATCCTCCTGTTTAAATTTCAGGACTTTTATGTATTTTATCTGAGTGTTTAGCTGTTTTTTTAGTCTGGAGTTTAGTTTTAAACAGATGATTTTGTTCTAAGCTAAATCCTGTTTACGGTATAACTATCTTCTTTTTTTTTTTCATCTTTCTCATTTGAAGACTCACAAGTCTTTTGGATAGCAGACCTCACAATGTATGCTTTAGTAGTTTAGATCAGGGGTCTCCAAATTTTCCAAGCAAAGGACCAGTTTACTGTCCTTCAAGCTTTGGGGAGGGGAGAACAGACTGTGGCCAGTGGGAGTAGAAAATGCCCCAGCATCCGTGCCCTCTCATTGGTTTTAATGGGAGGAATAGTGCCCCATTGTTGATATCATTGAAAAGAATAGTGCCCCATTGATTGCGTCAATAGAGCGAATGGTACGCCATTATTGGCATCAGTTGCTGAAATAGTGCCCCAAGGACCACATCTGGCCTCTGGGCCACAGATTGGAGACCACTGGTTTAGATCAGTGTTTCTAGCTTTATTAACCACTTGACTTCCAGTGGATTTACCCCCCTTCCTGACCAGGCCATTTTTTGCAATACGGATCTGCATTACTTTATACTGATAATTGCTCGGTCATGCACCCAAATGAAATTTATGTCCTTTTTTTCCCAAAAATAGAGCTTTTGCTTTGGTGGTATTTGATCTCCTCTGTGGGGTTTTTTTTTTTTTTTTTTTGCGCTATAAATAAAAAAAGACTGACAGTTTTGAAAAAAAAAACAATATGTTTTGACTTTTTGCTATAAAACGTGTATCCAGCAAAAAAAATTTTAAAAATCAAATTTCGTCATAAATTTAGGCCAAAATGTTTTCTGCTACATGTCTTTGCTAAAAATAAAAAAAAAAATAATAAAAAATCCCAGTACATGTAAATGAATTGGTTTACGTGAAAGTAATAGCATCTATAAATGGCTGTATGTACTGGAATTTTTATTTTTTATAATAGTATGGGTGGTGATCAGTGACTTATAGTGGGACTGCGGCAGGCATTCTGACACTGGGTGGGAACTGGTTGACTGTCAGTGACATCCCCAGTAACACTAATACAGTGATCAGTGCTTATAAAAAAAGCACTGACACTGGGCAGGAAGGAGTTAACAACATCTGGGGCGATCAAAGGGTTAAATGTGTGCTGTGTGTTTTGCTGTGTTTTACTAGGGAGGCATGCTATTTTGTATTGCTCTGCTATGCAGAGCAATATAAAGCAGCATGCTGGAGCTGACTGGGGAGAGATCTGTATTATTTACATACAGACCTCTCCCCCGTCAGTGTTCCTCGGCGATCACCGGGTGCCGGCGGGGAATCTCTAGCCAGGACCGGTGATTGACAGCTGTAGCGCCAATGGTGGTGCGGGTAGGAGCGTGAGCACCCCCTACCCGGAAATTATAAATATAAAATCACTGTAGCGGTAGTTCTGCTATAGGGTGGTCAGGAAGCGGTTAATGAATGTATGTATATATGGAATGATTACCAAGTGTCATTGGTTAGGATTATGTTTTATATATAATTTTAATATTTGCTAAAACTCCAAGATGTTCAGTGATTATAATGAGAATCAGAAAAATGTAAATAGCGTGAGCTGGAAAATAATGCATTACTGTGCAGAAGCTGCAGCCATCAAGTCTATCACACCCCCATGTGACGCATCTGAAAATAAACCATACTGTTTTTGCCTGTGTTGTGTTGGAAGCCCCATTAAAATTAAAGGGCTGCCTTAACACAATGCATCTTACATGCAACACAAAGCACGTTAAAGTGTATTTGTTAAAGCACAACAAAGTGGTGCCAAGATATAAAGCAGCCCTAGGGATTGAGGGTGTATTAGTGGATGGCGGCATTGCTGGACTTTCAAATCTTAAAGTGTTTGTAAATGCAAACACTAAATATCATTGCTATGCCTTCTGTTTCTAATAACAGGGATGCACAAATCCATGCCACTCGATGTCTGGGACATGCAGTTCCAGGCACCTGACAGGGTATTTTTTTTTTTTTTTTTTTTTACATTTCGCCCTACGGCAGTCAATTGACTTCAATGCAAGAACGCACCCCATAGACTTCAATGCAAAAACTCCTGTCAATAGCAATCCTTTTATCCACTTATCTCCACATGCCAAGATACTCTATAATTTGCGAGTTTGGATGCACCACTACAAATTCACACAGGACCCTTTTCATAATGGCACTCAAAACACAATGCATGTGGATTACATCTGTGTGAACCACCTCAATAGGAGCACATAATATCTAGCCTATCATGCGAATCTGCTTTTGAAAACGCATCCAGAATCGCATATGAATTAGAGCGGCTCTATTAACTTGGCGTTTTTGGGATTGCGACAGAATCTCTGCAATTTTGCTGGCGATCGAAAAACGCAGGTTCAGGTGCAATTTTTTTTTTCAGTGGCACCTAAAATCCGCAGTTTTGCCGTGCTGCAAAACCACACTGCGTTTTAACTGCAATTGAAAATGACACCTGAACCTGCGTTTTGCGATTGTAGTGCTTTCTGAGAATGTGGGCAGAATCGCAGCAATTCTGCCGCAATCCCAAAACGCCCACGCATGAATGGAGCCTAACGGATCAGACACCAGAGCTTGAGTTGGCTGCTCAGCAGGTGATAGTACTGAGCACCCAAGTGTTTCCACGTGCAAGTGTAACCTGAAGGAATAATTGTGTTTTTGGGGGTTTTTTTTTCTCATTGGGGCTGGCGCATTAAAAGAGCTTAACACTCCCCTTCCCTGACGAGCACCCAATCGGTGCTTGTCACACTGCAAGGTTTCTGCCCTCCCTGCTAGTCCCTGGGTGTGGTGCTGGAGACTGGCAGGGAGATGAGGAGGAGATAAACTTTTATTGTTTTTAACATTGTGCAGTTTAAGTTGCCATAAAGCCCCTTTCATTTTTTAAAGCCCTAAACATTCCTAAAAGCACCTCTGTCTAAATTAAAAAGAAAAAAAAAAACCTGCAACCATCCTTCTTTTTTTTAATATCACAAGTATATTGGGACCCTGATGTAGTCCCCTGGACAAGTAGTTGTTGTTAAAAAAAAAAAATCCACAACCCTGTAATAACAGGTATTAGTAAGCCCTTTGTTTATTAGATTTGATTGTAACCTAAAAATACCTGTTGATCCTGCCAGCAGCTGGCTATTTCTGTGTAGGCATGATGCTGAAAACCACAGGATGCTTCTGACTTACAATTGCCATACTGTCTTCTTGCAAGCTCTTTTAATCTTTGTACTGGATGCTCTACTAATGCCAATTGAACTTCAATTTGTTTGGTTAATGTTCGTTCAAAGCATTGCTAAGAAACTTTTTTTTTTTTTTTTTTTTTTCTTTCAGATGAACTTCGAATTGATAGACTTGATAAACCAAACTCTCTACCGTTACAGTCATCATTGTCTAAGAGAGGGACTGTATTTTCTGGTGATACTGGCACGTCAAGTGAGCACTCTTGTGGAGAAGGCATGGCAGCATATGTAGAGGACTTCAGCAAGAGTTCTGATTTTAGAAAAGATAGCAATGGACTCCGAAACCGAGCAGATCTAACTTCAGAGTCTACACCTAGAGGCTTGAACCAGTACTTAACAAGATTTGATGAAGCAATGAAACTTAGAAACCAGCTCAATAGTGAGAAGCCTGTTCCTGACAGTAGCAATGGAGTAGATGAAATGGACGCTTTCCGCATTTTTAGACTTGTGGGAAGTGCCATTCTTGCTGTGTTTATATAAGAATGTCCGTGTGCAAATATTTGGTAAGTTTGTGATACTTCAACAAGTGCTGGATGCATCCAAAGGAACTCTGTAATGTGCTTGTTTTTTTTTTTTCTTATGCTAGTCAGTGTTTTAATTTTTAATGTTACTTTTTCTTAATGTAAATCGATACATAGTCTGTAAAATCTCATATAAGCTTTATCATGCTAATGTAATGAAAAATTTCTTTCCAATCTTTTTAATTATGCATCTTATATTAAAATAATGCCTGGTGAACCTGTCAAGAAGGTTGTCACCTGAGCCCCTGATGAAGACTACAAGCAACCATGCCTACACACATTGTACAGCTATGGCCTACTGATGTCATTATCAGGAAGCCAGTCCAGGAAAAAGTTGTGCAGTCAGTGCTGGATCAAGTGCCTAATAAAGGCTGGGATAGGATCAGCAGTTCTGAGGTTAATAAAAAAAAAAAAAGTGAGAAAGTAGTTTATGAAAAAATTGTCTTTTTTTTTTTTTTTATTAAATACAGTGCTTTAGCAACCTAAATGTAATGTAGTTAGAGTTTAGATTTACATTAAAGTAGAACTATAGGCAAACCTGTTATTTTGAATAGAGCAAGGGAGGGTTTATAACCCCTGTCAATTTTTTTTTTTTTTTTTTTTTTGCAATCTGTGTTGCATTGCATAGATTTACCTTCACTTCCTGTCCCATAGCCAAACAGGAAGTGAGAGGAAATCCTTGCAAAATAACGGAATTCCTTGGGGAACCCCAGGTCATCAGAACTAGTGGTCCCATTGAAAGATTTTCCCTCTATTACTTTTCTGGGGACAACCCAAAATTTGGGATTTTCTTTTACTTTCACTGATAATGGTAAACAGGACAAATAGAGAGGATGAATCTTCTTAACAGGGGCACAGACAGCAATAAAAACTGACAAGCATTCTAATCCCTCTGCACTCTGTCCAAACCTTAAAAAAAAAAAATACTTTGAGATTTTAAAATATATCTTGTATGAAGAGAGAGAGAGATTAGTAGAAAGCCGAACATCGAGAAAGCAGCCTTGGTGTAAGAGAAGTGAAAGTGACTTCAGCCTGACTCCACCCAGGCCACTCCCTCTTATGCATTATGCCTCGCTCATAGGGCTTAGTCATAGGGGTCTAATATGGAATTCCTTATGGCTGAGTTTGAGAGAAACATTTTAACAGGTTTGATGAAGAGATGCTCCCAAATTCTACTTATTACCTACAGTACTGTGCAAAAGGCTTAGGCAAGTGTGAATAATTCTGTAAATTAACCACCTGCCAACTGCAGATAGCCGAATGACTGCTACACTGCGGCCGGCCAGTTCTGGGAGGGCGTCATACGACATCCTCCCAGAACGCGCTCTACTGCGCGCCCCCTGGCGATCTCTGTGATAGCTGTGTCCTACGGACACAGCTGATCACGTGATGTGGTAAAAGGCCAATCACAGCGGCCTTTTACCACGCTGATCACCGGGAAATGCAATTGCTCGTTCTTGGCTGCACTTTCCTCACGCTGTCAGAGCGTGAGGAAAGTGCTGCCGAGAACCGGCAGTTGTCAGAGCAGGGATCGGCACCGATCATCAGGGCACTGATGATCAGTGCCCTGATGATCGGTACCCAGCAGTGCTGCCAGTTAGTGCCCAGCAGTGATGCCAGTCAGTGCCACCTCTCAATGCCGCCTATCCGTGACACCTCATTAGTGCTGCCTATCAGTTCCCATCAGTGCCGCCTATTAGTGCCCATCAGTGCTGCCTCATCAACGCACATCAATGAAGGAGAAAAATTACTTGTCTGAAAAATGTTATAATAGAAACAAAGAAACTTTTTTTTTCTTTTTTTTTTTCACATTTTTTGTAATTTTTTTGTTTATAGCGCAAAAAGTAAAGTGCCCAGCGGCGATTAAATACCACCAAAAGAAAGCTCTATTTGTGAGAAAAAAAATTTCATATGGGTACAATCTTGCTTGATTGTGCAATTATCATTCAAAATGCAACAGCACTGAAAACTGAAAATTGGCCTGGTAAAGAAGGGGGTATAAGTGCCTGGTAGGCAAGTGGTTAAGAGTGCTTTCAGAAATAGAAGTGTTAATATTTTATTTTTTAGAAATTTAACAAAATGGAAAGTAAACAGAAGAAAAATCCAAATCAAATCAATATTTGTTGTGACCACCCTTTTGCCTTCAAAATAGCATCAATTCTTCGAGGTACACTTGCACACAGTTTTTGAAGGAACTTGGCAATTAAGTTGTTCCAAGCATCTTCAATAACTAACACAGATCTGTGGATGTAGGCTGCCTCAGATCCCTCTGTCTCTTCATGTATTTCCAGACAGACTCCATGATATTAAGATCAGGGCTCTGTGTGAGCCAAAACATCACATCCAGTACTCCTTCTTCTTAGGCTATATTTTGTGCTGTTCAAATGTACAGTGGATATAAAAAGTCTACACACCCCTGTTAAAATGTCAGGTTTCTGTGATGTAAAAAAATGAGACCAAGATAAATCATTTCAGAACTTTTACCACCTTTTAATGTAACCTATAAACTGTTGAACAACAAACTGAAATTATTTAGGTGGAGGGAAGTAAAAATAAAAAAAACTAAAATAATATGGTTGCATAAGTGTGCACACCCTTTAAAGCGGAGTTCCAACTGGAAAAAGAAATAATAAGTCAGTAGCTACAAAAACTGACTTTTTCAAATACAGACACTTACCTGTCCCTCAGTCGAGCGGTGTCCTCATCACCACTGATTTCACCAGCCGTCTTCTCTCCCTGGCATCTTCAGTGTGGGCACCCTACTGTGACAGCTTGCGGCTTCACAGCAGGGTGCCCACTGCACATGCTTGAGAAGTGCTGCGCTTTGTGAATGGCCCGTAGTCTTCTGGGACTTGTCACGTGTCCCAGAAGACTACAAAAAGGGGGAGAGAATGGCTTCCGATCACATTGGAAGTGGGAGCGGGTACCTTTCAAATTTGGGTACCCTCTCCCCCCCCACTCCCCAAAGGTGCCAATCCTTTAATGGGGAGCAGGAAACAAAGACCTAAACAGAACTTCCCCTTTTTGGTGGAGCTCTGCTTTAAACTAGTACTTTGTTGAAGCACCTTTTGATTTTATTACAGCACTCAGTCTTTTTGGGTAAGAGTCTATCAGCATGGCACATCTTGGCTTGGCAATATTTTCCCACTCTTCCTTGCAAAAACACTTCAAATCTGTCAGATTGCGAGGGCATCTCTTGTGCACAGCCCTCTTCAGATCACCCCACAGATTTTCGATCGAATTCAGGTCTGGGCTCTGGCTGGGCCATTCCAAAACTTTAATCCTCTTCTGGTGAAGCCATTCATTTGTTGATTTGGATGCATGCTTTGGGTCGTTGTCATGCTGAAAGATGAAGTTCAGCTTTCTAGCAGAAGCCTTAAGATTTTGTGCAAATATTGGCTGGTATTTGGAACTGTTCATAATTCCCTCTACCTTGACTAAGGCCTCAGTTCCAGCTGAAGAAAAACGGCCCCAAAGCATGATGCTGCCACCACCATGCTTCACTGTGGGTATGGTGTTCTTTTGGTGGTGTGCAGTGTTTTTTTTTTTTTTTTGTTTGTTTTTTGCCAAACATATCTTTTGGAGTTATGGCCACAAAGTTTAACCTTGGTTTCATCAGTCCATAACACATTTTACCACATGCTTTTGGCAGACTTCAGATATATTTTTGCAAAATTTATCCAGGCTTGGATGTTTTTCTTCCTAAGACCGTCTTGCCACTCCACCCCTTAGCCCAGACATATGAAGAATACAGGAGATTGTTGTCACATGTACTACACAGCCAGTACTTGCCAGATATTCCTGCAGCTCCTTTAATGTTGCTGTAGGCCTCTTGGCAGCCTCCCAGACCAGTTTTCTTAATTTTGGAGAGACGTCCAGTTCTTGGTAATGTCACTATTGTGCCATATTTTCTCCACTTGATGATGACTGTCTTCAATGTGTTCCATGGTGTAGCTAATGCCTTCTTCTGACTGATACCTTTTTAATAATGAGATCCCTCTGATGCTTTGGAAGCTCTCTGCGGACCATGGCTTTTGCTGTAGGATGCGACTACGAAAATGTCAGGAAAGACCTACTAGAACAGCTGAACTTTATTTGGGGTTAATCAGAGGCACTTTAAATTATGGGAGGTGTGTACTGACTCCTATTTAACATGATTTTGAATGTGATTGCTTAATTCTGAACACGGCTACATCCCCAGTTATAAGAGGACGCACACTTATGGAACCACATTAGTTTATATTTCTATGTTTACCCTAAACCTCCCCCCCACCCCCAAAACCCAAAACCCAAAAGATTTCAGTTTGTTTTTCAATTGAGTTGTACAGTTTATAGGTCACATAAATGGAAAAAGTTCTGAAATTATTTATCTTTGTCTCATTTTTTTACATCTCAGAAACCTGACATTTTAACAGGGGTGTGTAAACTTCTTATATCCACTCTTTTTTTTATTTTTTTTATCAAGAGTCCTTTCTGAGGGCCATTTTTATATGGCTTTTATTTCACAGCCTGGAATGTAATAAAGTAAAAATTAATAATAAATGAAAATACTAAAACTCATTCACGGGCTGCTGTTAGGATATTTTCTGTTAATGTTTTGAAGCATCTGATGGTCTTCCTTTTATTAACTGGTAAATGCCATTGTCTACTATTTTTTTGCAGTATACACTTTTTTTTCAAAATCAAAGGGGCGTTTTTAATCATCTCTTTAATTGGCTTTGACTTCTTTGTGCTCTTTTACAGTCCATATTTGCTCCATTCCTCACATTGCAACTTGCATTCATGGGATTGTCCAAATATTTTCCAAAGGTAAGTTTTTTTTTCTTTTTTTTTTTTTTTTCTTTTTTATTGCATTGTATTCATGTATGCAGGCTTATTTGATGTTTACGGGCATAGGTGAAATTAGTAAGTGATGTATTATAGGATACAGCGGGTAAAATAAATATTCAACACATCACCATTTTTCTCAGTAAATATATTTATTTCTAAAGGTGCTATTGACAGGAAATGTTCACAATATGTCAGTAGCAACCCATGCAATCCATACATACAAAGAAACCAAAACAAGTAAGTTCAGAAATTAAGTTTATATGTAATAAAATGGAATGACACGTGAAAAAGTGTTGAACACGCTAACTGAAACTTTTTTTAATTCTTTGTAACAAAATCCTTTTGTTGGTAATGACAGCTTCAAGACGCTTTCGGTATGGAGAAACTAGTTGTGTGCATTGCTCTGGCGTGATTTTAGCCCATTCTTCCACACAGTCTTCAAATCTTGAAGGTTCTGTGGGCCTCTTTTATGGCCTCTTTCCATATATTTTCTATTGGATTCAAGTCAGGTGATTGGCTTTGCCATGCTAGCAACTTTCTTTTCTTTCTTTGAAACCAGTTGAAAGTTTACTTGGCTTTGTATTTGGGATCATTGTCTTGCTGAAATGTCCACCCTCGTTTCATCTTCATCATCCTAGCAGATGGGGGCAGATTGTTATCAAGAATGTTTTGGTACATTTTCCATTCATCCTCCCTTAAAACAAATGAAGTTTGTCAGTACTCTGTGCTGAAAAACAGCCCCACGCCATGATGTTCCCACCTCCAAACTTTACTGTTGGTATGGTGTTTTTGGGGTGATGTGCAGTGCCATTTGACTGCCAAATATGGTCTGTATTACGGCATCCAAGGAGTTCAATTTTGGTCTCATCTGACCAGACTATATTCTCCCAGTATTTCACAGTCATGTCTAAATATGTGTGAAGCAAACTTTAAAACAAGCTTCAATATGCTTTTTCTTCAGCAATGGAGTCTTCCAAGGTGAGCATGCATACAAGCCATGGCGGTTGAGTGCATTACTTATTGTTTTCTTTGAAACAATTGTACCTGCTAATTCCAGGTCTTTCTGAAGCTCTCCACAAGTGGTCCTTGGCTCTTGGACAACTCCTCTGATTCTTTTCACTCCTTTGTCAGAAATCTTGCGAGGAGCACCTGGTCGTAGCCAATTTATGGTGAAATGATGCTCTTTCTACTTCCGGATTATGGTCCAAACAGTACGCACTGGAACATTCAAATGTTTAGAAATCCTTCTGTAACCAATACCATCAGTATGTTTGTGCAACAATAAGGTTGCGAAGGTCTTGAGAGAGCTTTTTGCTTTTACCCATCATGAGATGTGTTTTTTGTGTGTGATACTTTGGTAATGAGACACCTTTTTATAGGCCATCAGTTGAGACTAAACCAGCTGATATTCATTTGCACTGACAAGGGGCAGGATTGCTTTTTAATTAATGTTAGATTTCAGCTGGTGTCTTGGCTTTCCATGCCTTTTTGCACCTCCCCTTTCTTCATGTGTTCAATACTTTTTCCCTGCGTCATTACATTTTATTACACATAACTTAATTTCAGAACTTGTTTTGGTTTCTTTGTATGTGTGGATTGCATGGGTTGTTACTGACATGGTAAAAATTTCATGTCAATAGCACCTTTAGAAATACATTTACTATGAAAAATGTATTTTTAAACAGGGGGCCAGTTCACTGTCCCTCAGACCGTTGGAGGGCCGGACTATAGTTTAAAAAAAAAACAAAAAAACAGACTGCGGATATACACCGGCGGCGGGAATACTGGGTCGGCCGCTCCATAAGACGCACATACATTTCCCCCCAAGTGTGTCTTATGGAGCGAAATAGTGCCCCATCATTGGTGTCAGTGGGAGGAATAGTGCCCCATCATTGGTGTCAGTAGGAGGAATAGTGCCCCATCATTGGTGTCAGTGGGAGGAATAGTGCCCCATCATTGGTGTCAGTGGGAGGAATAGTGCCCCATCATTGGTGTCAGTGGGAGGAATAGTGCCCCATCATTGGTGTCAGTGGGAGGAATAGTGCCCCATCATTGGTGTCAGTGGGAGGAATAGTACCCCATCGTTGGTGTCAGTGGGAGGAATAGTGCCCCATCGTTGGTGTCAGTGGGAGGAATAGTGCCCCAACGTTGGTGTCAGTGGGAGGAATAGTGTCCCCACGTTGGTGTCAGTGGGAGGAATAGTGTCCCCACGTTGGTGTCAGTGGGAGGAATAGTGTCCCCACGTTGGTGTCAGTGGGAGGAATAGTGTCCCCACGTTGGTGTCAGTGGGAGGAATAGTGTCCCCACGTTGGTGTCAGTGGGAGGAATAGTGTCCCCACGTTGGTGTCAGTGGGAGGAATAGTGTCCCCACGTTGGTGTCAGTGGGAGGAATAGTGTCCCCACGTTGGTGTCAGTGGGAGGAATAGTGTCCCCACGTTGGTGTCAGTGGGAGGAATAGTGTCCCCACGTTGGTGTCAGTGGGAGGAATAGTGTCCCCACGTTGGTGTCAGTGGGGGGAGGAATAGTGTCCCCACGTTGGTGTCAGTGGGGGGAGGAATAGTGTCCCCACGTTGGTGTCAGTGGGGGGAAGGAATAGTGCCTCATCGTTGGTGTCAGTGGGGGAAGGAATAGTGCCTCATCGTTGGTGTCAGTGGGGAGAAGGAATAGTGCCCCATCGTTGGTGTCAGTGGGGGGGGGAGGAATAGCGCCCCATCGTTGGTGTCAGTGGGGGGGGGGAGGAATAGCGCCCCATCGTTGGTGTCAGTGGGGGGGGGGGAGGAATAGCGCCCCATCGTTGGTGTCAGTGGGGGGGGGGAAGAATAGTGTTCCATCGTTGGTGTCAGTTGGGGGTCGAAGAATAGTGTTCCATCGTTGGTGTCAGTGGGGGGTCGAAGAATAGTGTTCCATCGTTGGTGTCAGTGGGGGGGGAAGAATAGTGTTCCATCGTTGGTGTCAGTGGGGGGGGAAGAATAGTGTTCCATCTTGGTGTCGGTGGGGGGAGGAATAGTGCCCCATCATTAGTATAAGTGACAGCAATGATGGGGCACTATTCCTCCCTATGACACTTAACTTGCTGACCCCTGTTCCAGCATGGTGCTGCTGCAGCCAGCATACCTGGTTGCAGCAGCACCTTCTGCATGGCACACTTACCTGTCAGCTGTCCTTCACTCCGGCCTCTCCCTCACTCGATGTTCGCGGGGCCACTCGGCTCCGCCTCCTCGCAGGTGATTGGCTGCCTGTGTGCCTTTCCTGAGCTACAGTTCTGGCGCCCAATCACCCGTGAGGAGGCGGAGCCGAGCGGCAGGAGTAAGGGAGTGGCCGGAGTGACTGAAGGAGCAGCGCTTCGTGGACTGGATCGTCGTGGGACTGGGACCGGAGCCAGGTAAGGTACAGAAGCCCCCTGCCCACCCCTGTACTTAGTGTCCCTTTCTTGCGGAAAATACGCCCCTGCCGGCGGGCCGGATAAATGGCCTCGGCGGGCCGCAGTTTGAGGACCCCTGATTTAAGCGGTCTCAGTTGCTTCTGTCTTTTCATGTAATTCCAGACAGACTCAATGGTGCTGAGGTCTTCCATCTCTTCCAAGACTATATGTTGTTCTTTCACTGAAAAGATTTCTTGATGACATTGGATTTATGGTTGAGGTCATTGTTTTGCTGCAGAAAATAATTTTTCACTGATCAGATGCCTCCTTAATTGTATTGCAAGATTTGTACTTTAAATACCTGCTTGAACTTTTCAGCATCGAGAAAACGCAGCCCTAAATGTGCAAGGAAACTCCAACTTGCTTTACTGTTGTTTGCAGACCCTCATCCTTGTTGTAGGCCTTTGGCAAACTGCCTTTGGTTACAGCCAGAAATTTCACATTTCGACTCCTCCGTTCAGAACACTTGATTGTTTTCTGTATGCTGGTTGTTGTGCTTTCCTGTATAGGCTAGTCGCTTGGCCTTGTTTCCACTTCGGATATATGGCTTTTTAGCTGTAAGTCTTCTATTAAGACAACCTTGAACCCAGATATCTTAACGCTGTAAATTGCTGTACCTGGGTCCCACTGGTTTCTGCCATATCTAAGCTGATGGTACCACTGGACATCTTTGGACTGCTAAAGGAAGTCCTTATAATATGTCTTTCATCTGCTGCACCAAGTTTCATTGGTTAACCACTGTGTTTTCTGACCTCGACATTTCCCGTTTCTTTGTGCTTTTGTAGAAGAGCCTGGACAGTACATCTGAAAACCCTTCTCTTCCTTTAAATATCTGCCTGTGCAGTTAGACCACCCTGTGCCTTCTTGCTATATGCAGTCTGTCTACCATTCTACTCTTTTGGGCCGCATATATGTTTGTGCTGGGAGCATTCTGCACAATACAAGGACCAGGCTTTCAACAAGATAATTAAAAAAAAAAAAAAAAAAAAAAAAAAATGAAGCATTATCCATTACTATTTACCACCAAATGAAAGCTCAATTTGTCCTGAAAAAACCCCAGTATAATTCATCTACATACATATACACTAAGATGTAATGTATAATCATAATCACTTCGACATTGCGATCATATGTACAGTTTTATTAACACATGTTAAAGTTGCAAAACTGTGTTCAGGTGTTAGGATTTGTTTTATCCCCATCATAAAGGGGCCTTAACAACCTGCAAAATTGTGTTTAAAAATGCATGTACATGCATTTTTGGAGTGTTTCCATTGAATTAGACTGTCTACATTGGGCTGCCTCTCCTAAACTATCAGGCAACCTTTCTCTGCCGGACCTGGCTCTTCTAGTGTTCTTTACCATATTTCAGGCCCCTTCACAGGGGTATTCAGTCTGGATCCATGTATGTCTGAGCGGGTGAATATGTAGGGATGTCCCTTTTACATCCGCTTCCATCCAAGTCTGTTTATGTTTCAGGGGTGTGGAAATTTTTTAAAAAAACTACTTGTTCAGGGACTAAATCGGTGCTCCAATCTACTCGTCCTTCATGACAATC